TTTCTTCTGAACAGGTCATGCGAAAAATGCACAAATGTATGTACCAACGGTGGTGCTTTTTTTTTTGTTCATAAATTTCGCGTTAATAGAGAAAAGATGTTGTCGGGATTTGGCGACAACCAGGTTCAAAACGGCACATGTGTGGGAAAAAAGAAAAATGTGCAACTGTACAGATGTGTAAATGGGTAAATAGGTAAATAAGTAAAGAGGTAAATATGTAAATGTGTAAATATGTAAATGTCTAAATCTGCATAGATATGTTACACACACAACTCGCGTTTTTTTTTTTTCTTTTTATGCCTTTCCCCTCCGCACAAATTGTAGTACTTCCATCTAACGCCAGGTTGAACTTCAACCGAAGTACGTTATACCTTTTAATTGACTTGTTGCGCATGAAAAATGTGCCTTCTTTTTTTTTTTGTTGAAATTTGTAAAAATTTGTAAATTAAATGGCTACGCTCGACCCCTTGGTGACCTCGGTGTGAAACCATTTATTATTTTTCCCGGCATGGCGCTTAACGGACGCAACTGCTGGGAGTGAATTGACACAAACGAGTCTGTCACGCGAGTTTTTCCCAAATTGTCCAAATAGACGCGGGGCAGACAGAGTACGGCCAAGTTAGCCCAAATCGGATTGCCACCATAAGGCCAGCTCATATCCGCGTTTGGTCTAGCTTGTCCCGTTAAAAAAACATAAGTGGACGCATAGAGTAACTTCGTCCTTAAGGGGGATACAAGCCACAAAACATGTAGAAGAAAAAATTGCCCGTTTCGTGTCACTCTTTGTAGTTAAATGTGGATAGCTCCCTTTGCACAGATTGACGCTCCTATTTTATCTTATTCTATCTTATTTTATTTTATTCTATCTTATTTTATGCTATCTTATTTTATCTTATTTTTTCTTATCCTATTCTTCTCATGTTACACATTTGTTCCTCTCAACCTCGCGTGTTAACTAGCGGTACCTGATTCGCGCGGCAACGCCACGTCGTTTCGCTTCCCAATTTTTCTAGTAATAATTTCCGAATAGATGCCTAACCATGTGCGACAGCATCTGCAAAAATGAGAAGAAGTTTGTGTTGGGGCCTGCCCCCTCGCCTTGCACCACCATGGAGGACTACGCCGTTTTTGAAGTAAGTCTTCCGCGCGCGTGCAGCAGTGTCAATCTGTATCCCAAGTTACGAGTTACCAATAGATATTTACGCCGCAATTCTTTTTACTCACTTTTCCACCCCAGCCCGCAGCAAACCCGGTTATCAGAGACATAGTCCAAGAAACGACAATCCATGTGCCCAAAATAGAATACAAGGAAAAAATCGTCCACGTTCCCAAAGTTGAATACAGAACGTACCCCGTCCTGAAAGATGTGGAGACGCCCATATACCGAGAAAGGTACAGGTACAAAAATGTTCAGGTCCCTCAAAAGAAGCTCAGGGTGAAGCCAGTGTACAAAGTGGTAGACGTGCCTCAGTACAAATATGTGAATAAATATGTGAAGAGAAAGTACAGACGGTTTCAGTACGTGCCGAGGGAAGTCCCTGTGCCTTTTAGACCCAGAAGACAAATCTATACAGAAATTCCCATCCGCAGATATATCCCCCAATATTTGGAAAATGGTCCCATTGAACGAGACATGAGTAATAGCGCTTATAACCTTCAGGGAGAATTACCCCTCTTCGAAGGGTATAATGACAATTGCTTAAATATGATGAATCCGTTTAGTAGGTCTAGGAGCAGAAAGAAGGATAACTGCTTTCTGAGCTGCCTCTGTAATGGGAAGAATGAGGAGTCATTAATGTACGAAGCCGATCCTCTGCTCTTTTCCGATGCAGTTTATACACACGGTAGGGGAAATCTCTACGACATGAGCAGTAGCTATGAATTTCCTCCCGGGGGGAATAGCACATTTGCCTATAATAGTTATCCACTCGTTATACATGAACGGGAGAATAATTTGTATAACAGAATGATCGAGACAACGTCTAACTTGTTGGCGGCAGCTGGGGTGGCTCTCGTGCTGGCTGGCAAACTGGGTCTGCAGGGGATATCTATCCTCGTGGGAGGTACTGACAAGGGGAAGGAGACGCCCAAGGGGGGTCATGCTGGTGTGGGACCCCATCCGTATGAGCTTGATGGGGGTCGACGTGACCCGCTTAAACACTCGCAGGTTAGGAAGAAACAAATTGAGGATCAAAGCGGGAAGAGACCCACAAAAAGGACAACCAAATAGGGAGGCTCTGCATTCTATCAAAGTAGAGCCAAAGGAGAAGAATCCGCAGCAAAATAATTAAAAGTGACCCCATGTTGCACTGCCCCAATGCAGATTTCTTCCAATTACAGCTGTGTAGATGAACTCCTCGCCGCTTAGCCACATCACAGCATGGCACTTAATTTGGACCATTTACACAAGGGGGGCGAAAACGGTTAACACGAGTTACGCCAAAAGGAGGGAAAAAAAAATCCTTAAGTATTATTCGATTTATAATATTTAATGCATTTTTCTGACGTCTTTAACATTTCACATTAGATTTTACATGGCTTTTTCTTTTTTTTTTTTTTTTTGTTCCTCCCTTGGGGTGCCTTTTGTTTCCCCTTATTATTGTACGAACTTAATTAAACCGAGGGGCGCTGTCCACCCCGCCGTTGGTGAAGCAGCCGTCCTTATATTTCCTGTGTGTGTTTTCCAGGAGAAGCGTTGGCTTCATTTTTTGTTGGCACATTTGGAGTTAGCGCGAGTTGGATTTGGGGGGCATCCGGCATGTGAAATGGGGTAAAAGTGGAAAAAGTGGAAGAGGCGGCAAAACTGCCTGACCGTACAGGTGAAACGTTGCCTGTAATGGCGACGGTTAGTGTCTCGCCAGGAGATCCAGCCCCAATGCAGGGGGCGTCTCAGCTGCAGCTTTTTCACCTTAAAGAGTCTGCTAAAATATATGTGTGTAGCGTAGTGTCCTTTTGAAGAAGACAACCCCCCCCTCTTTTATTCTCCTTACAAAAAAAAAGAAAAATAGCTAGTGGTGAAAAAAATAACATTGATGCGTTAAAGCTTCCATTTCTGTTCAGAAAACCATTTGCATGTGAAAGAATCATCGAAATGGAAAGAGCCCAATGGAGGGGGGGGAAGACAGTTATAGAAAGAATTGCCTTTCCAAAGGTGTAGCTAAGTGGAGGTACAACTCGTGGCACAGTTGATGGAACAACAGATGGAACAACTGACGGCACAACATTGGGGAAAACATTATAAGCCATCTTTCAGAAGGCCACATTTTCACGTGGTCCTCGTTTAACACGTGAAGTCCGTTTTAGTACACCACATAAATGGCCCCAAACCTGTTGGCCATCGATATATACCTTCCTTCCGGAGCAACATAAATGGGTAAACCTCCAAAAATGACACGAGATGTTCGTTTTCTCTCCTGTGTGTGTTAGCGACTCTGTGTTTTGCATTATGGCTGGAGAAACGTTTTTCCCTTTTTTTTAAAAATGCAAAGGGGGGTTCTACACCTTTATTAGGTGCTTCCATTTGTTTCTCCCGTTGGGGGAGTAGATCGATCACGGGTGCCCACTGCTCAGGAGAAAAGTATTTCAGCGTTCCCCATATCGTGCGGCTACTTAAAAAAAAAAGGCTAACTGGTTGCCCCCTCAGTTTGTTACGCATCATTGTGGCGGTCAACTTACGTAACTTCACACCATTTTTCGGATTTTTTTCCCTTATCGGTGAAAAGTTTTACCGCGCGGAAACATGCGCTCTTGTGACCATGTGCATATATGCACGTGAATTCTTTTTAATATTTCCCACTTGGTGCTTTTCCCCTTCGCAAATTTGACACATACATTGTACATACAAGGTGCTTGTTATACATATGTATGATTTTTTCCGGGACGAATGAGGCTACTGCTACTGAGTTTCCCCTGCGTGTAAATACGTGAGAAGCACAGCACTATGCAGTATATATATCACTTTTCTTTTTTTTTTTTTTTCCATTTATACTGATTTGCTTATATATACCTGTTCGCCCTGTTAACGCAAGTGACCCCTGCCCACTTTGCACCTTTTCTGAAGATCCAAATACACAGAGCTAAACCGTTGCCGTAGTATCAGTCGTACGAGCGTTCATGCAGTGTATAGTCTGCGCCGAATCTAAAAATATCCCAACGTGTATATCTGCCGTGGACCCCCGCAAACATGTTCACAAGGAGCCTTGGGCGAGAAATGCTTAAGCGGGTAGCGGGACACCCGTCTATGATCCCCCAAATGGGCCATGTCAGAAATGAAGTGAAGTACGCCAACATGTTCACAAAGCGAAGCGTATCTTTTTCGAGAATACATTTAACGCACTACCTGGAGGATTACTACACGTCGGCGGAAATTGCAACGAACATGGTGTCGCCCATGTCTGAGTATGTTTGGTGGAGCTGGCTCTTCCTGCAGGTGAGGAGGAACACCAGCTGATTATCGTGTGTGCTCAAAGGAAAGAATGGCGCCTCTGCGCATAGCAGATGTGGCAGCCCAATGATTTCGTTACTTCACCATTTTGCAGCTTCATTAGTGCCTTTTTTTTTTCTCTCCCCCCCTTTTGCAAAAATGAGCAGGCCAGCATAGTCTTTGGCACCCTGTTCCATTCCAACTATTACTTCACGGGGAAGGCTCTGCCCAAAGTTCAAGGGAACTCCCAGCTGTGTGAAGATTCATGGTGATGTCTTCTCACCATGTAGCGAGGAACCGATAGAGGACGCCACCACCTATTGAGAGAACACCTCAATTAAAGACTTTTTCGATTTTTTTTTTTTATTTTGCTCCATTGTTATACTTCGTCACGTATGTATCCTTCCGGCGCCCTGTTTCTTTTTTCATGTAATTGATCCTTTTGCACAACCGTGAGGAAAGGAAGAGATATCTTTGAGGATAAATTAACGCTCGAGAAGAGGGGGGCGCCTCGATAGGCACAATACTGCGGACACGTCAGTGAAGCGATATCCCGTTGCTCAAATTGGGAGTCCCCTAACGGTGTGGGTCCCGCGGCTGCGCAAACTTGAGCTTCCCCATCGGGACAGCTTCCTGTTGGTTAACACTTCTTTAAGATGGTACGGATAAGAAGGATGTGTGGGGGTGTGTATGCGCCTGTGTTCCTGTGTGTGTGTGTGTGGAGGCTTACATATGGCAGCAAATGCTTACACGCGGACGATCGTTCACTTCACTAGTGGGCACTCAATTCCGCTGGTCCATTTTGACGCCGTTGCCTCGGAAGCCAAAATCCAGATAGCGCTAAAGGTACATTTTCGGAAAGGGAAAAAGTTTAAAAGCAAATGAGAGAGATCCCTCAAAGCAGTTTTGCAAAAGGAGATGAAGCAATACCAGCAAATGGGGTGAAAGACGAAAAGGAAGCATGTCGCAACGTGGTTAACAAAAAAAAAGAAAAAATGGAAAAAAGTGAACTGTTCAGACGGGGGTTGTTTTTTTGATGACGGTTTTTTCTTTTTTAATTTATGGCATTAATTTGTATTTTTTTTTTTTTTTTTTTTTTTCCTTCCCACGCTAGCTGTTCCTCCATCAAGCCGACTGCCACGCAGCAGATCGGTAAATTCGGACGGGAAAAAAAAAAAAAAAAGAGGGAATTCTTTTGGCGCCCCCATGAAAGAGGCATTCCAAATCACTTGCTAGTTCACTTCACCCAAGGTACTTCCCTACATCTTCATGCGAACATATCATTGTGTGGGTCTCGCTCTGCAGAGGTAACGCGTCAACCGAGGGCCCAGAACTCATCCTCGTACATGGACTTACTGTTTTCCTTAGCCTTCAGGTCGTCGTTAAACATGACTTCGAAGTTTTCATTCTTTGAGTCTTCAGTGAGTTGATTGTACTTGCCATTGTACAAGGCATAGCTAGCGGCACTTCCACTTAAGAGAAAAAGAAGCCCCATTCCACTGGCGATGTATGTTTGATTGAACTTTGGTGCACCTCTACTTCCCGCACCTGCATTGTGTTTTTTTCTCCACTTATTTTCGCCATCTTCTTGCTGATTTCCTTTCTTCTCGTAGAAGTTGTTTCCATTCGTCTTCTCCTCGGCATGTCTCTTATTTTGTCCCTCACCAGAGGTGCTTGAAAAATCCTCAAACTTATGATCGCGGACATTCTTTGCTCTTTTTGTCCCACTGGATGAGGCTGCGTCTGGTTGGCCGTCTTCCAGGTTGTCGCTGCTCGAATGTGTTGCATTCGTTTGGGCTTCCTCGGTATTACTATGTGGTCCATTCGATGCATCTTCGTTGGGGTGATTCGCATGGATCTTGTTGTTCGCATCACCTGCGGGGAGTGACGCCTCAGAGGGGGTCGTGCCTGTCAACACCTCTTTCTTCTTCTGCGCAGTTGTATCCGCCTCGTCAACGTGGGAGAAGGTTTGGCTCATGCCGTGATGCTTTCCTTCCCCATGGGAGCCCCCTTCGAGCAAACTCGGTTCGTTGCTGTCGCCCTTAACGGGTAAATTGCTTTCTTCCTTCAAGGTCTCTTCGAAGTCGCCATCTTGCTCATTGTCATTATCGTCATTGTCAAAACGAATGGTGGTATTATTTTTGGCATTTTCCTTGTTTGACTTGTTTGGATCACAATCCTGATCTTCCCGAATGAAGGGGCAGTTAACTACTTTTCTGTGTCTCTTTCCATTTTCACAGGCAGACCACTCTTCCCAAATGTTACACGCCTTGCAGGTCATCTTGTCTATCACGGATTTGTCCGTTAAACATATCCTGGTGCTAACTCCGTCTTTGCACGTAGACCACGAATCCCATTGTTCGCACCTCCTCTTCCCAATTCTCTTGCAGCTTATTTGTATCAACGATAAGAAGAAAATGTTTAACAATAATGACTTTAAGCTAGCCATTTTAATTTTATTCCATTATTTGGCAAAAAAAAAAAACAAAATAAAAAATAAAAAAAAATTGGCTGTTTTGTTGCGATTTGCCTGTACCGTTCAGGCAATTTCCACAGCTAGGTTAAAAGCACACATAGAATTTTGTAGAAAGGGAATACACCCTGAAATGTGTAAAAAGGGAATAAACCCTTAAAAGTGTATAAATGGAGCACACCCTGAATTGTCTAAAAGGGGAGCACCCTCACAGGAATGTTAAAAGTACGGGTGAAAGTGTGCAGGCACTTCTAACCCATCTATGTACGTAGTGCTTGCTCGGGCGAATGCAGACAAATGCGACTATACGTCGTTCGATTGCGCAAAACAGGGGGGATTAAACAAGGCAAGAAGTTTCCAACTGACGAAATTGCTATAAAAAATTAAAAAGGAAAAAAAAAAAAAAGGGGAGAAAAATGATATTTTCCCATTCTATTGATGCCGCCCTAGTGAACTCCAGCAGCAACAACAATTTGCTATTCACACTGAGGGTGAATAATGCAAAAGTTTGAGCAGCAATGAGGATACAAAA